ACAGAACAATTAACTTGGACCACACGTTTCTCAACAGTTTTTATCCCAGAGCTATAATTGCACTTAACAATGAACTTAAGGACTACCTTAAGTGAGCTGTTGGAGAGTATTACTTGATCTGTGGGTGGATGCGTCTGTGTTTTTAGGGGCTGGGAATTTTGGTGGCCGGGGAGTGTTTAGGGATTGTCATGTGTGTGTTGGGTCTGGTCTCTGGGTGTTATGTGAATTTTGTTGTATGTATACTCTGTATATACGTACAATGACAATAAAGATTTCAATTCAATTCTGGTGTGCAGTGCCCTATAGTGTCATTTTGAAAATAGAAGTTGAAACAATTTATGTCCAGGATGTGAGGGGTCTGTAGATATTTTCACAGCCCTCTTTTTAAATTGTGCTGTATACTGATCCTCAATGGAAGGCAGATTGGTAGCAATTGGATTTTTTTTCTGTAGTTCTAATTATCCGTTGAAGTATGTGTCTCTCTTGTTTGGTTGCAGAGCCAAACCAGACAGTTATAGAGGTCCAGATGACAGACTCTATAATTCCTCTGTAGAACTGAACCAGAAGCTCTTTGGGCAGTTTGAGCTTTCTGAGTTGGCACAGAAGAAACATTCTTCATGCTTTTTTGATGGTGTTTTTGATGTTAGATGTCCATTTTAAGTCTTAAGATATTATAGAACCTAGAAACTTAAAGGTCTCTACTGTTGATACTGTGATACTATATTTTAGAGGTGGTAGTATAGGAGGGTTTCTCCTAAAATCTATCACCATTTCTACGGTTTTGAGTGTATTGAGTTCAAGTTTGTTCTGATTGCATCACCAGGTGAGTTGTTCAACCTCCTGTCTGTATGCATTGTTGAGGTAATTCCCCATTAGGAGAATGAGCGCATACAGGGAGACATAGTGAGAGTAGTGTTGAATAATACACACACAGCACACAGATACACTGTACAGTAAATGTAGGTTTTTACTTCCAATAAACGTTTAAGCACAGTCCAAATAAGCAGTCCATGTCATTCACAGGTAAGGCAGTCAGTGTTCAGTTCAGGGGTAATGCAAATATCAAAATCCAGTATCAAAAAACAGTTCAGTAACAGACTTATATCAATGATCAGTAACAGTCATTTAGGAGGAATGGCAACTCTCTCCAACAGAAGAAACAGAGACTCACACACTCACTGAGACAACCCAGGTTTCTGGTTCCATCTTATGGCCGTTTGAGAAACCACACCCAATTACAGTTTTAGCATTCTCTTAAAGATACAGTATTAAAATGTCTATCCTAGTTTATATATTTCCAACCCAAATAACTGTTAGGTGACTTACATTCCTAACATTCTCCCCTTTTGGGTAGGACAATATATACAACCTTACATTCTAAGTCCATAATCCTCACAGCACACCCTATACTTTATAGAGCCTTGGGCCTTTGTAAAATGATCTGCTATATTGTTTTCTGACATACAGTATTCTAGCTTAATCATTTTACTTTGCATACATTGTCTCACATTTAAATATCTTAAATCTGTGTGTTTCATTCTTGTTTTAACAGCAATATTTGAAGCCATCTGTATTGCTGATTGGTTGTCTTCGTAAACAACAATAGAATCTGTTACATCAATTCCCATATCAATTAGTAGTTGCTTATAACAAACTAAATCTGTACATAAAGATAAACATGAGAATTTAGCCTCCATTGTTGACAAACTTAGATGTTTCTGTCTAATAGACCTCCATCCAGTCAACACTTTTCCCAATAATATTACAGTACCCGATGTAGATTTTCGTGTATTTATGTCTGTAGCAAAACTTGCATCAGCATATGCAGTTAAACTCAGTTCATCTTTAGGCTCCAAATACAATGCATAGTGCATTGTTTCAGATATCTTAACACATGTTTAGCAGCTTGCCAGTGCCTTTCAGTTGGCTCAGCATAAAAATCTTGCTAATTGATTAACACTGTATGCTATATCTGACCTTGACCAATTACTGAGATAAGATAAACTACCAATCAAGGACTGATAAATGTTCTTATCAAAAACAGGACTTTGAATATCACTATGACTAAACTCCTGGTTTATCAGTGTTTTAGCCGGCTTACAAAGTTCCATTTTAAAACTTTTTAGTAATTGGTTAATTTTATCTGCTTGTGAGATTTTGTATCCTCCCCTAGTTCTATCTATCTTTAAATCAAGATATTGTTTGATTTCTCTTGTTTTATCTTAAATTTCTTCTTTAACAATGAGATTATTTTAATAGCTTCTTGTTCTGTTTTGGTGATTAATGCTATGTCATCAGTAAACAATAGCAATAATGAAACTACACCATTACTTTCTCTTTTAAATAAACATGGATCAGCCATGCCAGCTACAAAACCTATCTTAGTTAATTCTTTAACTATACATTGGTTCCACTCATATCCTGATTGCTTCAAGCCATAAAGACTCTTTTTCAATTTTGAGCAATCAGTTGGATTATCATTTTTAATACCTAAAGGTTTCTTTAAATATATAGTGTGTTGCAACGGTGCATGCAGATATGCCATCTCTACATCTAAATGATTTACAATGTATTTCTCCTTAGCTGCCCACACTAATGCTGCCCTTAAAGTAGTAGCCTTCAGACTAGGGGCAAACACCTCATCATAGTCATTTTCTGTTTTGTTTTTTATGAGATAGCAGAAACTGTGTCGTGAGTAATGGTCCATAATACTCAAAATATAGCAGGCATCTCCTAAACTAGGTTTCTTAGGATTAATTATGTCAGCAAACACAACCTCTAAAGGCTCTTTGGTCTTAAACCCATTTAGTCTGTTTGCTGGAGTAACCTTGCTTTTATCTTGGCTACAAGCATTACAGTTTAAATACTTGCTACAGGGTTTCAATTTTACTCCCTCTGACAATTCAACAGTTTGTTTGAGCATTTTGAAATTAATGTGCCCCAGACATCTATGCAGTAAATGTATACATTCATCATATGGCTTAACATTGTTATAAACTGAGTTAGCCATCTTCAACTGGTTATCATGTATCACATATAAATCATTCTCTAAAGTAGCAGTAACACTTTTACCCTCTTTCTCTATTATACAGTTATCTCCCCTAAAGTTTACTACATAACCAAGATTAACTAAAGCCCTTATGGATAGCAAATTAAATGTCAGTTTAGGTACATATAACATAGTTAAATGTTCGCTTATACAAGAACAATATGCAGTACCTTTACCAGAAGCCTTCATCTTCCATCCATTTGCCAATGATACATGTTGTTTACTCGTAGACATCTTTACAAACCTTTTTATATCTTTAGTAATGCATTGCGATGCTCCACTATCAACAACCCACAAATCATGGTTTACAGTTAAATTGCTAGACATAGCTAAACTAACATTCTTCTTGGCCTTCTAGTGATTACCAGTATTCTGTCTTTTCCCCTTCTTACAGAATCTAGCTGTATGTCCTCTAGCCCCACAAGAAAAACATTTTCTAACAGTATAGGCAGTTGAAGACAAATCCTCTTCTTGTGGTTGTTCCTTCCTCATTTGGTCCCTATCCAGTCGTCTTCTTGCTTCTTCTAACAACCTTCCAGTTATGTCAGTCGATGTCAGTTTATCTCTGGGCAGGACTTCCAGTGAAGATACGGAATCATCATAACTTTCATCCAATGATAGATAGAACCTAGAAACTTAAAGGTCTCTACTGTTGATACTGTGATGTCTGGTATTTAAGAGGTGATAGTATAGGAGGGTTTCTCCTAAAATCTATCACCATTTCTACGGTTTTGAGTGTATTGAGTTCAAGATTGTTCTGATTGCACCACCAGGCTAGTTGTTCAACCTCCTGTGTGTATGCATTCATCGTCTCGAATGAGACCAATGTTGTATCATCTGCAAACTTCAGTAAGGATCTTTTAAATGCAGTCATTAGTCTATAGTGAGAAGAGAAGTGGAGAGAGCACACTGGGGGGCTTCTGTGCTAATTGTATAATCTGTTGTGATTTTGCCTAGCTTCACCTGCTGCTTCCTGTCTGTTAGGAAGCTTAAGATCCATTTACAAGTGTGGTTTGGTATAGCCATCTGATTTAGTGTGATCTGGAATGATGGTATTGAAATACTTACAAAGAGGACCCTTGTATAGGCCTTTGGAAATTCAAGATGTTGTAGGATGTAGTGCTGAGTCATATTAACAGCATCATCTGTCAATCTATTTACTGGCAAATTGCAAGACATATAACAGCTGATCCGTGATAGTTTCCAGATGGGCCAGCATTAGCTTTTCAAGACCAACTGGTCTGAAAACATTCAGTTCCTTGATAAGTTTCTTTGGCACTGGGATGATTGTAGAACATTTAAAGCAAGAAGGAACATAGCACATCTCTAGTGATTTATTAAGGATGTTGGTGAAGATGGGGGTCAGTTGGTCAGCACAAGCTTTTAAGCAAGAAGGAGTTATCTTGTCTGGGCCTGGTGCTTTTCCTGGCTTTTGTCTGTGAAATAGACTTTGCACATTCTCTGTAATCACCAGAGGTGGTGGGTCCAATGGGATGGGGTAGGTTGTAGGAGGCTTGGCATTGTTGTGTCTGAGATGAGGGATTTGGAGATGGTTTGCTAGTTTTCTCTCAAATCTACAGTAAAACTCATTCAGGTCATCTGCCCGTTGTTGATTTCCTTCAGCATGGGAAGGAGGTTTGCTGTAACTGGTGATATTTTTAAGAGTTTTCCATATGTTTGCTGGTTCATTTTTGAGAACTGATTCCTTAGCTTTTCAGAGTAGCTTCTTTTTGCTGCTCTGATCTCCCTTGTTAATACGTTTCTCGCCTGATTGTACAGTATTCCATTGCCTTTCCTGTAGGCTTCCTCTTTGGCACGACATAGATGCTTAAGTTTTGCTGTGTTGTTACTGTGTATTCTCAGGTTTCGGCACACATAGGTCTTCACAAAAACTACATATGATGTTACAGTATCTGTGAATTCATCCAAATCTGCAGAGGTATCTTTGAACAATCAGTGCAGTCAAGGCAAGTCTGTAGCTTTAGCTTTGCCTCCTCAGTCCATGTCTTCAGTGATTTAATTGTTGGTTTCATGGTTTTAAGTCTTTGTCTGTAAGCAGGTACTAGGTGAATCATACAATGATCAGAGTGTCCCACAGCTGCTCATGATAAAGACTGATAAGGATCTTTTAATGTGTAACAAAGGTCTAAAATATTCTTGCCTCTAGTGAGACAATTGACATGCTGAAAATATTTTGGTAGCTATTTCCTTAAAGTTTGCTTTATTAAAATCTCCTAAAATAATTTGAAATGAATGGGTATTTAACTTCAGCCTATATAATCTGGTCAGCTAGAGTTCGTAATGCATTGTTAACACAAGCTTGTGGAGAAACATAGACAACAATTAGGAGAAACGAGGAGAACTCTCATGGAGAATAGAATGGTTTGCAATTGATTAAATGTCTGTAAGTCCACACCACAGAATTTCTTTAGTATAGTTATATCTCTTGACCAGCAGCTGTTAATATATAAACATAAGCCTCCTCCCTTCTTTTTACCAGCTGTTTCTGCAATTCTGTCTGCTCTATATATCTGAAATCCTGGGGTATGCAGGCTACTATCATCAATTGATTCATTTAGCCAAGTTTCAGTGAAGAAGAGAGCTGCTGAGTTGTAAAAATCAGAATTGCATCTATTTAAAAGAAGTATTTCATCCATTTTATTAGTGAGTAAATGTAAATTAGTCAGAAAGAGTGAAGAGAGAGAAGTTTTATTTGTTCCAGGATGGGTTCATTTTGAACTTGATCCTGCCATTTAACCTGTACAATATGCCCCATGCAATGTGCCAATAGCCATTAAGCCACAGGTCAAAGTGCAACTGGGCAAGAATGAATCTGAAGGACATATTACTTCAGTATCTAAGCCCACCAATTGGATAAGCAACATGGTTGTTATTAGGAAGCTTGAGAAGATCACAATTTGCATTGATCCAAGTTTCTGAATATGGCCCTGAAACAGTCACACTTGATGACATTTTGCACAAACTATCCAAAGCATGGGTTTTCACGCTTTTTGTTGCCAGAGATTCTTTTTACAGTGCAAACTTGTTCTGGACTCCTTGGGGCAGAAAGAGATGGCTCAAACTACCCTTTGGAGCCTCTATAACACCAGAGGTGTATTAACAAAAGCAGCATGAAATATTAAGTGAGCCAATAGCTAATGATATTCTTGTAGTGGGCTGTGGTAATACAGATGAAGAAGCTGAGCAGGACCATAATGAGAAGCTCATAGAACTACTAGACTGGTGTAGGCAGGTGAGGATGAGGCTCAGTGCAAAGAAATTGCAGTTCAAGGTGCAAGAAATCCATTTCAATGGACATATCCTGTTCTTACAAGGCTTAAAAGCTGACCCAGATAAGATTAGAGCCATTGTAAACATGCCACTCCCTACCAATGCCAAATTGGTGCAGATATTTATTGGTTTTGTCACAAATTTAGCAAAATTTCTGCCACATCTGTTCGAGGTGTGTCAGCCATTGAGACGTCTGCTACACAAAGATGCTGTTTGGTACTGGCTTCCCAAGCATAACCAGGCAATAAAGGAGATAAAATGTTTGGTCACCATTTGAAATACTTATGATGTCACAAAGCCTGTTACAATTCAAAGTGACTCAAGCAAAAATGGCCTAGGATATTGTTTATTCAAAGATGGTCAGCAAGTTGCATATGCATTCAGGGGTCATTCATCTGCTGAGCTAAATTACACTCAAATTGAAAAGAAATATTTAAGTATTGTATTTGCTTGCCAGCGTTTCCATCATTATCTTTATGGCCAGGATACAATCACAGCTGAAACTGATCACAAGCCGCTAATAGCCATATTCAAGAAGCCCTTTCTATATGCTCCTAAGCATTTGCAGAACAGGACGCCTACATTGCAGCATAACAACCTCAATGTTGTCTACAAGCCAGGATGTGAAATGTATATCAGTGATACTATGAGCAGGGCTACATCAGATCAGACATCACCAGGAGGAGAGTGCGAGCATTATATGGTTTGTTGGTTGCAACAGGAATGAATGCTCTTTGCTGAAGTCAATCAAGCAGACTATTTGAATGTTACTAAGCAGCGGCTAGGTCAGCTCATGCAACACAGAAACACAGATACAGCCTTACATGCATTGAAGGCTATCATTCTGAATGAGTGGCCAGATGAGAAGGAGGCATTTCCTGCAATTGTGATGGAATATTGGTCCTTTAGAGATGAGATGAGCATACAAAATGATATCTTGTACAAAGGTCCAAGAGTCATAATGCCAAAGTCATTGAGAGCAGAGATATTATTGCGCATACATTCGAGCCACATTGGGGGTGAGGCATGCTACAGACAAGCTTGTGGTAGTCTTTGCTGGCCTAACATGCAAGGAGAAATTAAAGACTTTGTTAGCAATTGTCCCACTTGCAATGAATATGCACGTTTGCAACAAAAAGAAACCATGATGTCACATGAGATACCATCACATCCTTGGCAGATCATCAGTATAGATTTGTTCAACTATGCAGGAAAAGAGAACCCGCAAAAGAATACTCAGCCAGAGTTTTGCCAGAATTTAATATTGGGGAACGAATCCATATGAGACCACTGCCTGGAGATTGAACAGGTTGCTGGAAAATTGTGTTTTTTTTACAACAGGTAGCACCATGCTTCTATCTAGTGCACATTGAGGGAACCCTATATCATCACAATCATGTGGATCTGCCTGTGGCTGAGCAGCCTGACTCTCCATATCCAGTGGATGGGCCAGATTTACTTGTTATTACCAGGCCACACTTACCCACTGACCATAGGGAATGCACAGTGTTGATACCATAGACCAATGCTAATCATAATCCTGAGCAAGCCAGTATACCTGATAGCAGTCAAATGCAGAATGTCCCAGTAAGTAGGGAGAAGAACCCATCCACCTCAGCAAAGTTGGAGAAGTTCTCAGGACAAAGATGGCCAGTATTCACCCATAGTGGTTGACATTCACAACCACCCAACACAGAACCTGTAGAATGTTTTGATATGGGTTCTCATCTGAAATTTTACAATGTTTTGTTGGTTAATATGAAAAGAGGAAGATGTTACAGGTGTTATGTTAGCTCTATCATTCCTCTCTATTCTAGTTGTTTCCTGTATCATATTGCCACTATGATTCATCTCTATCGCTCCTGTGATGCATTTTCTGTTCCTGTTGTATCACTCTCTCTAATAAAATGGTTTCTGCACAGTGATCACCTGTAGGGTGATCTTTACTCTACATGAAACACTAAACTTGACATGATCTTGATAGTTATTCCTCTGCAGCCTAGGACTGCATTGGGTTTTTTTGGGTATGGAGTTGGACAAGCTTCTTTTCAACTGTTATTTTGCATTCCATAATGGGTAGTTGATATAAATATTTAACTTGCTATGTGAAAAGTATGGACTACAATATTGGGACTATAAAAAACAAGGACAACCACTAAGAGGGAAGCAAAAAAAGATAAAAACAAAGTATTCCACAGAAAAGTTAAGAATGTGCAAAGTAACCAATAGCCTGGAACATTTATAAACAATATTAATCTATAGACAATCATGTATCTGTGCACCTTCAAGTCAGTATTGCCTGGAGATTGCCTAAACAAGTCCCTGAAGTTTTCTTGGCAAGATTTTCAAATGTGGTTTGCCATTGCTTCCTTCCTAGGGCTGAGAGTGAATGACTGGTCTAAGGTTACTCAGTTGATTTTATGTTTAAAGCAAGACTAAAATTCACAGTCACCTGGTTTCTAGCCTGGTACCTTAACCATTATATTCTCTTATAGAACAAAACTATTATTATCTTAATATATCTAGTAGACTAAATTTATTGAATATTCCGGCAATTAGTTATACATTATTGTAACAGCACTTAGAAATAGCATAAAATTGGTTACACAGAGTTTTTGCTGAATATCACAGTGCCTTCATAAAGTTACTGTATGCTACCTTTGAATTACTACATCTTCTCAATTCTGTGCACAGAAAAGGAAATTGTGGATAAAAAGGAAACTAGTTAATATTGGGTATATTATGTTACTTGACTTAAAAGATAAGGTTTCACATAAAGCAATAATTTGTTTAAGTCTCAGATCACTATGTTTACATTCACATTAAGCTTAACAGGACAATGTTAATGGGCATAAGGCAATCAACAGTAGACATGTAGAGGAACAGATGGGGTACTCTTTGAAGCATGTGCCTGCAAGGTGTGTGTGTGTGTGTGTGTGTGTGTGTGTGTGTGTGTGTGTGTGTGTTTTCTTAAG